CTCCCACCCCCCGAACCTTAAATTTTATCCCTTAATGTTTCCCTCATGAGATGTTCATACCTTTAATTTCTGGAAAATATCCTTAAGATGGTGGGAAACTGATCGGATATTTCACCTGCGTCATGTTTTGTTTTTATCCAGTTTTCTCCCCCCCTCTTCTTCAAGGTGGTGACTCATATTAGGATATGGTTCCATGGGGTAGGCAGCCCTTTAGTCTCTCACCTGTGTGACCATTCTTCACGTGTGAGCTTTGATGGTGAGTGTCAGCAGGCTGTTTGATCGTGTCAGGCATCACAGCCGAGCCCAATAATGTCCTCACTCTACATCCACTACCCCCAACCCCCCGCACTTTCCTGCGGGGAGGGGTGGGTGTCACTGGATAATGATCAGAAGCAGGAACCCAGTTCTTTTTCTTAACCTTCCACACTTCCCTCACAGACAGCAACGCTGAGACTTATTTCAGTGCTCCCCAACTACTCCAGCTGAAACCAGCGAAGTTGGCAAAGTGAAGCCTGAGACCTGCCCAATCTGTGTCTCAGCACCACAATATTTGGTGCATTCACACTCTGAGCAAATCATAGGAGCGTCCTCTGTCTTTCTAATGGCTATGTTGAATACACGGCTTTCAAATGTAATTTTTTTTCCTCCTAGAGTTTTTTTTCTCTCTCCAACCGATGAGGTAGCCTTGTACTTTTTCATCCTCCTGCAATGTATACGGTGTGCCTCTTGTGCTTATTCATGAATGAGGTGTAAGAGTCCTGGGCTGGTAGCTTTTTTTGTTGCATTCAGAGAGAGCTTAAATCATGTGGCTAATTGAGTTTCCTTGATCTGTGTTCTCAATCCATTTAATCAGCAAATACCACCTTCCTGAACAATAATTTTTTCTCAATGCTTTCTCTCTCTTTGTCTTTATTTGTATTTTTCACAAAGTTGCCCAACGTACACAATAGTTTCCCATGTACAACAGGAACCTCTCTGCTCGTAATGGAGCAATCATTGTTTTTGAAAAAAATGCTATTCCATCTAAATGAATAAGGATGACTTTTGTCCAGTTTGGACAAATTAGCTAGCCAAACTGAGGCTTATGAACCTGAAAAGGAGACGTGTGGACCATTCATTGTGGAGTTGAAGTTTTAGAAAGTCTCATCAGTAACTGGTCACAGTTAGTGCACAATTCCTTTGTCTCTGGGATCTCAGTTTAGATCCAGCACTGCTGATGGTTGATTGTTTGATTTTGTCTTTACCTACGTTTTGGGGGTAGTTGTGAGGAGCCTATTGAAGGTGTATTCTGTCTTCTTGCAATCCAGAGGGAAAAGGCTCGCAAGAAAAAAAACTGCCCAGAAGTGGGAGCAAAATGGGCATCAAATCAGCAATCTTTGACCACAAAGGTAGCTGAAGTGGTCAACAGAAAGATTACTTCTGGTGTGGTAGTGGAAATTCTTGCAAACCAAGATTATGGTATGATCTTGAAGAGGAAAAGCGATCACCAATTGATTGTGTGTTTGTGTATATATCTGACTTTGAATAATGCTATCAATAGGTGCCCCAAATACAATACAAAATTACATTTGTATAGTTCCTTTCATGTCAGGACAACATCCTGGGGCGCTGGGATGTCAATGTATTCCATTCTTTAGAGCCTTGGGACGTCCTCCTGACGTGAAAGGCGCTCTATAAATGTAATTTTGTTGTAGTTGCTGTTTAGCACTACCATTCTTCCTCTTGATGACCAAGAAACACATAGGGAAAAGTGAAATTTTGCATATTAAGGAAATGTGTATTTATAGCGCTTGAAAGAAAGGTGTTTCTGCGCCTCTCAGGAACTACTCTCCATTCGCATTTAAGGAGAGATTGTGCACACAGTATTCAAGTCCACTGTGACTAACCCGTCAGGAAGTGATTTTAATGAGGCTCCTCTGTTTCTAGAATAAAATCGACATCCAGAGGGGCAGCCCAGAAAAAAAAAGGAGCTTGCTGATTTTTCAAAGCCTGAGCCATCTTGGTTAGAGCGATGAGAGACGTTTTCCAATGGATGTACAAAAGGAGTATCGCTGTTACAGACATAAAGAGGTCACCCACCGTCTGTGGACTGGCCCTCGCTACTAGTGGAAACGACATTGTACTGAGAAGGAAAACTGCATTTTGTATCTCTTGTTTAATCATGTGAAGTTCTTATTGTAGCTGTGAGGGCCAAATGGGTCGCGTGACCTATGGAGATTGGTATCTGAGCTTAGTAAAGGGGCTGAGTATTTATAGGGGATAATGTAAGGAGATGGCATGTGCACAGATCAGTCTGATTTCTGTCAATCTGGCAGCTCATCGAAAGAATGTCATGCACATTAGGTTCTTTGGAATTTTTGTGTGTGTATATATTTATTTGTTGGGGGGAAGGAGGAGAAAAAGAAAATACAATCTACTGTATTGTTCACTAGTTATTATTTTAAAATGAACATTGGTGTGACTATTACAATACATCTTTATCTGTGGAGCTCTACTGTGACTCTTTTAGTAATTCACCAGAATGATACCAGGGCTAAAAGGGCTAAATTATGAGGACAGGTTGCATCAACTTGATCTATATTGCCTTGAGTCTAGAAGGTTGAGGGAAGATCTAATTGAGATGTTAAAAATGATAAGGGGGTTTGATATGGTAGATACAGAGAAACTATTTCCTCTGATGTGGGAATGCGGATCAAGGGCTATAATCTTAACATTAGAGCTAGGCCATTAAGGAGTAAAATCAGGAAGCACTTTTTCACACAAAGGGTAGTGGAAGTCTGGAACTCTCTCCCCCAAAAGGCTGTGTGTGCTGGTTCAATTCAAATTTTCAAGACTGAGGTGAATAGATATTTGTTAGGTAAGGGTGTCAAGGCATATGGGTAAATGGAGTTCAGGTACAGATCAGCCATAATCTTATAGAATGGCGGAACAGGCTTAAGGGGCTGAATGGCCTACTCGTGTTCCTATGATTGAACCAATGGTACTCATCTTAATTAAAACAAAATGCGACTGAAAAATAAAGTTCAAACATGTGAAACCATTGTAGCGCAATCTGTTGATTCTCTTACTCTAATAAATGCAAACTATGATAAAAGATTTCGTACTGACGGATGGATTCATTGCCATCTATTCCATAATACTTTAGTTATTGTAACATTGTGATTGACTTATTAAGATTGCATTAACAGCAGTTTAATTGTTTGCTCTCTCTTCCCCCCTTTGTTGTATGCAGTAATGTTCCATGGGCTCTAGTCGTCGCCGTCCCCCACCCCGGTTCCTCATCAGAGTAATCATTCTGTGTCAACCCAGATAGTGAATGGCATCAGATTATGCAGCCATGTGGGATCCTACACTAAGACTAAGCCTGATCCTTTCCTCACTGATGTGTATGTACATCTGGACACTTTCTAGCAGGAAACACCAGGTAGTGACAAGCAGTCACAAGTATGGCAGATCTATGGAAACGCTGTTTCAGTGAGCGAAGAGTAAACCTGTGGAATAAGTTCCCTGGGGAGATGGTTAAAGCAGGAAATATTGATTCCTTCAAACACAGATTATTTCTTTTAGGAAATAACATTATCGGATATAGTACATAGGTAGTTCGAGACATATGTGCATGCAAACTCCAGGAAGGTGGAAGGCGAACTAGATGGATCTTAGTTTTTTTTGTCTAGCATTTCTTATGTTCCATAACCCCAGAAACTCATATTGCAGAAACCCTACCTCGCTGACTGAGTTAAATAAACAAATGTATCAAAACTTTTTGACGGTAGATCTTAAATGCCATTATTTAATCCAAGGAATACAGGATGCATTAAATTTAAACAATTGGGAAATTAAGTTAAAACAATCTTAATGCACATTTTGACTATTTAAACACTGAATGAAAGATTGGTAATACTATTCCGATTATTTCCTTGGTTTATCGATCCATGCATGCAAATTCTGGAAAACGTTGCTCGTATCTTCTTATGACTCAATTTTTATTCATTATTATCAACTCTCTTCTCATCTCTATTGTGGTGGGATATGGTTCTGTGGAGCTCAGCCCCACCCAGGTACCTATTCTCATGACCAAGTCCACACGGGCCAAGATCACTGACAGTTTGACCAAGGAAAGCATTGCAGCCAAGTCCTATCCTGCGTTGGCCTGATGTCTGTGCATTTATGTTATAGCAGGCATCATTGCATGGCATTGAGGAAATGGCTGATTTTTGTTTTTATATCCCCCACCCCACTTCATTTTTCTCACTCAGGAGAGAGAGCTAAGGCTAATTGCAATGCTGCACTGACTTCATCAGCACAGAGTGTAATTGGATCCTGTGATCTTATGACTGTGAGCCATTCCTATACCTGGCAATAGCTTTTCCTACTAAGCATCATGGGGGCAGGGTTCTGCATTATTTGACATTGTAACATGAATGACAACTTCTTGCTGGTCAGTCACATTGGGTGTTCCACATAGCCCTGCCTGCTGACTGGAGTGGCAAATGTGATTACATCTCCTTCTTGCCACCACTTCATCATTACTTTTTAATGCCTTCCATTCCCATCTCTGACAGCTGAGATCCTGTGAATGCTTGAGCAAAAAAAGTGAGGAAAGAAACTGAATCAGAGATGAGCAAAAGTTCTGAGGGCAAACATTTTTTGTGTGTGATGTGTGCTCGCAAGTATGCGTAAAAATTGCCGGCTGGAAAAATAGAAGACAACACAATGGAAAAAAGGAAGAACGTGTCACAGACAGAAGAAATTTGGAATCTGGAACAAGAAATGGACAGCAATGAAGCAATGTCACCTCCATTTGTATACATGCCTGGAGGATAACTGTGGATTGACTGAGGTACTTGAGGAAGCCACAGAGTTTGCTGTGACAACTGTGGCAAACTAAGGAGCACACCAGGAAATTAAGGGATGTATAGTGGTCAACTCAGAATCAATGACTGTACTGGCAGTTCATGCTTCAGACCAGTTTACTAACAGACCATTTCCTATTGTTACAGGAACGGAAAAAGTTCGGCAGGCACAAGCATGTAAGCTTCTTCATGTTGTAAACCCAGAATGGTTATGGAGCTGCCTGGAACGCTGGGAGAGAGTTGATGAGCAGCTCTTCCCACTGAAAGAAGACTATGTAAAAACACAAAGGTATTGAGGTTTACAGGATTATGTTTGTTGGTGCATTGGGTTCATATTGGTCACTAACTCCATGGCTGTTTGTGGGATATTTGTGCATTTCGCCCACAAAATACGCAATCAATCCACTTTACAATATGTTCTGTGAAGCTCTTTGAGACTTTTTAACGACGTGATAAGGTGCCAGTATCAAATGCCAGGATTATTATTATATATTGTGCACAATTGACTACCACGTTTCACCTGCAAAATACACAATCAATTCACTTAATGGTATAACCTTGAGACATCATTAGGCACTATATGTAAATGCAAGGATTATTATTTAGAAGTTAAGGTGAGCAGATTTCACTAGGATTGAGAAGGTTGTGGGGATGACCTGATAAATATCTTCAAGATCTAATGGGTTGTGATAGAGTAGCTAATAATAGAATATTTCTATTGATCTGTAATTATGAGAGAAACAAAAATTTAAGAGAAGTTGATCTGCTTGAAAGATGTACTATGCGGATTGACTGGATTCTATCGTATCTCAGAAAGGGCCTTACACAAATATGTAAGATAATAAGATTACTAATCCTTGCATTTGACTTTTTGTGTCAGGAGGACGTCCCAAAGCTCTTCAAAGGATAATTTGCAAAGTGGAATGACTCTGTGTTTTGTGGGCGAACACAGCAGCCAATTTGGGTACACCAATGGCTTACGTGGAGTGAATAACTAATTTTATTTGCTGAATTGTTGGCCAGGGTACTGGGAGAAACTCCCTTCAAATAGTGGAATCTTTAATGTCCACCTGAACAGGCAGACGATGCTTCAGTTTAATGTTTTCTCTGAAGGACGGCACTTCTGACAATGTAACGCAGCTCCACCACTGCACTGGAGTGTCAGCTTAGACTATATTGAGTTTCAAGGCCAGACTAGGGCTTGAACCCGGACGCTTCTGACTCAGAGGTGAGAGTACTACCAACTGAGCCAGGTTGACACAAGAGATGCTAAATGGCATAGAGAAAGAAAATGCTTGGGTAGCAGGACATGGGTTCAAGCTTGTGATAGGCAATTTTGAGATGGATAGAGGCATGATTGCTTTACTCAAAAGGGAATCATCAGCTGGAGTGGATTACCAGGCAAAGGTATTTGATGTGAGGACACTAATTTTAAGAACTAATTTTAAGAAACCGATTAGTGCAGTAATGTGAAGAGGGTAGAATTGGTATTCTGGATGAAAGAAAATAGGCAAATAAATCTTCTTTATTTGAACATTATCTCTTGTCAAAGAGATCTGCACGTGGGCGATGTAGAATTGTATCCAGAGATATCTATTCCCTCAATTTGAATCCTGCTTTGCGGCTTATCTGTCTGGCTATGGACCCAATTATCAATGCAAACAGCAGTAGAAAAGATAGCATACCTCTCAGTCTTTTCCTGTCATTTCAGCCTGGTTCAATTCATTCTGCAACATTCTTGTCTTTGGGTCAGAAGATTATGGGTTCAAGCTCCTTTGTTGGGCTCATTGTCTAGGCTGATACTCCATTACAGTACTGAAGGAGTATTGTATTGTTGGATGTACCTTCTTTCGGATGAGAAATTGTTCTCTCTACATGTTCAGGTATATGTTAAACATCTTATGACAGAGGAACATCGGCCCATTGAGTCTGTCCCACCACTTTCCAAGATTATGCCCGATCCGTAACTCAATTCCACCCCTCTGCCCTCTCCATATCTCCTGATACACCTGTTTATCAAGTATTTAACTATTTGCCTTTTAAATTCTTCAACTGGCTCTGCCTCCACTGCCCTCTGAGTGAATTCTACATTCCCACCACCAGCATGAAAAAAACACAATAACAGTATTTGAGAAGTGAGCAGTGTTTCTCCTGCTACGCTGGTCAAGAATCCTCCAGATTAATTTTCCATTCACTTTACAGCTGTTTTAAAATAACCTGATAAATGGCAGGCAATATGTCTTAAATTAGGTTAGTTCTAGTCTGACCAACCTCAAACTGTATTCAGGAACTTATCTACTGAGAGTCCGTTTTAAATTGAACAATGCCATCTAAGTATTTTTATTTAATTTGATATCATTAGAATTAACTTTGCTAAGGGTTTACTGTAGCAGCTGAATTTAATTAACTATTGCTGGTTGGTGTGATGAAAGGTACACTTATCTAAATCCTGTAATTTTTCAGTCTTGCTGCCAAGACTATTGTAGTGCAAATAATTAATGTACTTTTAACACTAGATCTATTCAAAGACAAAGAGATGCAGTGCAGATGGTTAATTCAGTTATGAAATATAAATTAAGTAATAACTTGCTTTGCACTAAGCACTCTGGGACGCTACCCCGTGTGAAGGGCGCTATATAAATGCAACATGTTTTTGTAGATTAATCTTTTCTTCACTACTATGTATGCTTTGCATTTTTTTAAAGATTCTGAATTTGGAAACTGCCTTGTGTGATTTTTTGTTTGTCCCAATGTGATACAGGAAGCCTTGCTTTGATTTTGATGGGCATTCTGATTGGATTGCTTGTTTCGTAAATTAAATTCTAACCTTGGTTTTATTTTTCTTCAGATGCAACAGCCCTGCCAGTTTCCCCGAGATTCAATGTGGTTTCCAAACACCATTGTTGCATCCTACCCCCATTCACCCCAAGACTCAGCCAGGCCCTGAAGTCCGCATTTATGATCCCAACACAGGAAAGCTAATCCGAAAGGATTCTCAGGGAAACAGACAATCAACATATATCCAACCCCCAGCTCCACCTGTTACGTTACCAGTTCATGGAGAGCAGTCATCATTCAGGTAATATTCCTGAGCTAACTCAGAATTATGTTTATATTTTAAGACTTAGGTATACAATATGGAGCCTACTGAGTTCAGACATTTTTCTTTAAAATGTTAAAATTTAGGTGCCAGTTGGTAGCATTCTCGTTTCTAAGTCAGGAGGTTGTGGGTTCAAGCCCATGTCAGAACTTTGAACTCTAAGCTACCACCTCAATGCAGGGCTGGGGAATGCTGCTTTGTTAGAAGTGCAGACCTTTGGATGAAATGTTAAACCAAAGTCCTGTCTGCCTGTTCAGGTGGACGTTAAAGATCCCATGGCACTATTCAAAATGAGAATGGAATTTCTCCTTGTGTCATGGCCAACAATCCCCTGAATAAAATTCATCATTCACTTCATTGGTGTGTGTAAATTGGCTGCTGGTTTGCCTACAAAGTACACTACACTAAACTGATAACCTGTGAAGCGCTTTGAGACTACCCCCTAATATAAAATATACAGTCAATTCACTTTTCAGTGTATTCTGTGAAATGCTTTGAGGTGTCTCAAAGTTGTGATAAGGCGTTATATCAAATACAAGGAGTATTATATCAAATGCAGGAGTTATTGGTATTACAGAAACTCTTGTCTCCTGCTGTTGATTCAAATGCGCACTCAGGAAAATTCCTGTTGCTGGTTGCAATCACACAACTGAAGATTTCCTAAGAAATTTCACCCTCAGTCAGTATTAGTGCATGTGCAGTTATCTGGCATCTGGCAGCATTCTCCTGCACTCTAGCATTACAATTACCATGCTTTCCCAAACCACCCTTGTGGTTCGACTGTGGCACAGAGCCTCCAGTGTGGCATGGGTTCCATATCCTATTCACAAAGTGGTGCGGTGGCAAGTAATGACTGGTCGCTTGAGACAGGTATTTGTAGGGTGAGCTGGGTAACATGTAGCAAAAGAAAAACTGTATTAAAAGAGATGCGCTCAGAATAAATGGAATTATAAATGGAGTTCTCACCTCAAGAGTCCAATCTCAATTGTGCCTTCATAAGCAGTCCTGATTGGAGTCTGGCTTGTTCTCTACAATAACTGAAGCAGGATCAAAAGGTGTCACACCCGAGGTTTTCTCTTGTACTTCCCAGTGACTAGTTTTCAACAACAATACAAACGTTTACATTTAATATGCATTTTTTTTATATAGCGCTTTTCATGTTGAGAGAATGACTTAAAGTGCTTTAGAAAGTCTGAGTGGGAGCCCCGAGCTGGGAGGAAGCTAGGATTGGGTGTGGAGGTTTGGAAGAAAGCAGCCGAAAGTCAATGAATTAGTCTTGAGCTGGGATTTGATAGCAAAGAAGGAAGAGCCGGAGTGTGGAGAGAATTTAGGGAGAGAATTCCAGAAGGTTGCAGCGAAGTGTCTGAAGACCCAGAGCCCTCATCTGACTTTAATTGGGATGGTGAGTGGCATGAGAGAAGGTCCTTATATTTTTAAAACAAAGGGAGAGAAAAGAATATCGTCCTCAACAGAGCTCTGAAGACTGGATAGTAGCAGTTCAATAAATTACTATTTTCTACAATACAATTGTTTAAGAAAGAATGTTGGAGTGACGTACAGAAAGAGCAGAAAGTCTTGAAATATCCACTACTTTTATACTAGAATATGTGTTCTGGCTACATTTAAGTGTGGAAGCATGGATATGAACTGTGAGAACAGGAGCTAGCGATGATTATGTAGAATGTATCTTATTACTGTAAGTGCAGTGGTTGATCTGTTTTTGGATGTAATTGCCAAAGTGACATTTGAGTGCTAGAATGTGAAGAGCATGTTCATTAATGGAATGGGGGGAGGGAGGGTTTGAGTGCATGGATTTCTGGGGGAAGAACCAGAGTAGTTGCTACGAGTTGAATAGGTGACTTAAATGCCATGCTTCGGTTGTACAGTGTGTGGGCAGCTTTTGAATTAAGACAATTAACTCAAGCTTAATTAATTAATGTGTTTATACGTTCAGTAAATGACTAATAACTGAAGATGATGTGTTATTTTAAATTGCTGTGGCAACATGGGAAGGCAATAGAAAATATAGTCTTGTTCCTGATTCTGACAAGGACTCTGCCCCCTCCCCCCAAAACATAAGTTAGGTCATCTGTTTCATATTCTATTTCTGTACACTTATGACTTTTTTTGCTGAAAAGTGTATTTCCAAAATATCCATTTTTTTGTTCGAATCAGAGGCAGTAATGAAATGGCATAGATTAAAAAAAAAAGAATTTAGCATGTTTGTGTTTATATTATCTGGTGCCTTGCTTGCATCTAAAATGTTTTCTCATATTAAAGAATGTATAAAACTTGCAAGCCTGGAACTCGTGCACTCTGATGTAATAGAGCATTAGACTTTAAGTGCTTAAATAGCCAACATAACCTTGCAGAGTTACTTACTAAAAGGTGGACACATTGTAATGTGTACTGGATGCCTATTACTGTGCTGTTAGTAATTGTTACTTATACCCAGTGGAAGTCGAACTCCTGAGATAGGCATGGCTGTAAAGAATAAAACAGTGTAGCTGGTCACCAACAAATTTGGTTTATTCCAAGCATTGTTGGTTCAGAAACTCGGTAACAAATAAAAGGTCCTGCAATATTTACTGAAGATGAAAAGGGATGCCAAGATATTGGTTTCAGCAATTGATTGAAGACTTTGTAAAATGGAAGAGCGAAAATGTGTTGCTTAGTAATTAAGCAACACGCTTAGTATTTCTGTGCTGCCAATCAGTCTTAATCATGAAGCCATTACCACACATTTAACACTTCTGATATTTAGTTTACGTGTTTGACATTGCGTATGTTTATGGCGTGATGCCGCAGAGAGTGAATGGGGTGGCTTCACTCCCAACAATTCAGTATACGACAAGTTTTCAATTCACAACTGAGCATAGAGTATCACCAGAAGCGAGACAGCAATCTAAGGGTAAGTGGTTGCATATAGGGAGAGAAAATAGTAGAGGTGGTTGGTCATTCATCCAGCCTTGAGGGAGGGGGTCAATTACATACTCTGGTGAGGGGGTCAGTTACACACTCTGATGAGGAGATCAGTTACACACTCTGGTGAGGGGGTCAGTTACACACCCAGCAGTAAGGGATTGGTTACTTTCTCATGGTTCTTGACAATCTTTAGGAAAGGAGATGACAAGCCAGCAGTGCTGAAATCCTGTCATTACCCTGACAGGGTGGGCTCAGTTTACCCCCAGTCGGAGAGTGTGGCAGCAATGCAGCTGGCGACTGTTGGATGTGTAGTCTATCTTGCTGTTGCCTCTGGAGGCCGGATACGGAACCACATTTGGAGTTGATGGTGGAAACTGTCAAGTGGGAACCTTGTTTATTTTACAGCACTGATCGCTGAAAGCAGGGCTGATGTTTATGGCAGTCCTGGGGGCTAATCCTCGCAGCACTCTGAAGTTTTGTATATTTGTTGTTGCCGTTGTTATTCTAGTGTAGGCAGAGTTCCATTTTATTCCAGGCACCTAATAGGGCTGTTATTGTACTGGTATAATTGCAGCATCATTTCCTTAGAGCCAGAAGTAAAAGCTCGTATAAACTCTTCATTCATTTTAAAGCCCACATCAGTTCAATGATTCATTCGAGTATCACTGGTGGAGCAAACACTGAAATTAAAGGAAGTTGAGTCTTACATGTATAAATACCCTAATAATCCAGCATACATAAAGTGTATGGTCTACCTTATCTTTCTCTCTCATTCTCCTTTTACTCTTCTATTTCATATTTCTTTCATGTTTAATTAGACAATTTTTAGTGTGGATGTGCAGTGCTTGTTCAGAACTTTGTGCAGGTTCTGTGCGGTCCTGTAGCTCAGTGGTTTGAACACTCATCCCGCAAACAACAGACCTGGGATTGATTCCCTCGTAGGGCAAAACGTTAGGCAAGTTTCCTTACTCCAGACGCCTCTATTTACCTAGCAATACGTAGGAACCCAGTCTTTAGTCAATTGGAGGATTGCTTTTCCGGAGATAATAATCCCTTCAAAATAAATAAATAGTAATTTGGTCACTCAATCCGCAACTGTTTGTGGAACACTGCTATGCGTAATAGGCTGCTGCGTTTTGCCCACAAAATATACAGTCAATTCACTTTACAGTATATTCTGTGAAGCGCTTTGAGACGCCTCGAAAACTGTAATAAGTTGATATATCAAATGCGAGAATTATTATTATATTATTGATTCACATGGTCCTGTGGGAACAATAATAAAAAAGCATTTTGGAGAAAATAATCCAAATAATACATTACTCTGTATTTCTTAATTTGATTGTAATGTGTAATTAAACTCTTCTAAGTCATTACAAAACGTCATATTTTCCAAACAAAATTTTACTTGCCATCCTAGAAGGGCAATTGTTGATATAAACTTGTATTCATATTTCTGGTACAATTTATATTAAATGCATTAAGTGTTCCTGTGCATAATAATAATATAATAATAATAATCCTTACATTTGATCTAGCGCTTTTCACGTCGGGAGGACGTCCCAAAGAACTTCACAGAACACACTGTAAAGTGAATTGACTGTATATTTGTGGGCGAACGTGGCAGCCAATTGCGCACAGCAATGTCCCACAAACAGTCGTAGATTGAAAATGACCAATTTATTATTGTTTTTGGTTTTGGAGGGATTATTATTAGGCGTGTGGAGTAAGGAAACTTGCCCAAGGTTTCGCCCTGCCTGGAATTGAACTCAGGTCTCTCGCTTGCAAAGCGAGTGCTCTAACCACTGAGCTACAGGACTCCACTGTAAGTATGCTCGGTCAAAATGCAGCAGAAAATTGGTCAGAGGCACTAATGGTAGCAGTTTGTATGCTGCCATTAGTGCCTCTGTGTGAGGTGTTTGTGGTGACTCACTATTCCCCTGACTATTTCTTACTGTTTATCACTTATGGAGCTGCACATCTTGCCATTGAGTCTTTTCTGTTGAATGACTGATGACTCGACTTTCCACAGGGGCTGACTGACTATATGGGAA